ACACAAACAGCCATTCTGTCGTGTACGAGCATAGGTATGTTTGAGCAGAGGACATTGTTAACAACTGATGCTTAATTGTGTTTAGCAAAATTCTTGAAAAAAATTGCTGAAGAAAGCTCGCGTCGAATGTTAGCTAGAATACGTACTCCAGCATGGGTCAGCGACTCAAAGCGAGTGTGTAATACGATTGGTAACAAAATAATAACAATTAGATATTTTCGAAGTACTGCAGCGTACCGCTCTAATTTGTCGACCGAAAAATACGGTGTCTCATAGTGGTAAAGCAGAAGTATCATGGTCTAAATGTGTCGGCTAATACTGCGCGTTTCTGTTGGCTCTAATGAAGCCTATGCTTTATTATTATTTTTTTTTTTTATCTAACGTCAAACTTCAGCTTCCTTGTTAATGTAAATTTTTTACGATGACGTTTTAAGCGTTCAATAAGAATGCGTCGATGATTGAGAAATCTCGATCGTAGCAGACGTTTATCAAAGAAGCCACCTTGCTGCCCAGTGACAACGAAAGCTCGAACTATTCGTAACGAGAAGTTAACGTAAATGGTTGAAATACAAAATAAAGAATGGATATGCGAGAACGCTAAACTGATGCTTCGTGATCTACGTGAGCACCGAGGCTCGTAACGACAAACAAATACATTGTAATTGCCAATCTGATACGTTCATGTATCACTGTTTCATGCAGCTTAAAGCGGACCTCGTGTTGGTAATAGTCATGTTATATAGTGGTTTCCATATTAATACAAAATACGTTGCTTTATTCACATAAACTGTATAGTATTTTCCTGTAGTTGTCCAAATTTAAGCAAGCGATATAAAAAAATAACTCACTTGTGACAGAGCAACTGTGTAATTATTTATGTATGACATTGACTAAAGCAAGAGGTCTCCGTGTGTTGTTATGGCTGTTTTTGCTGCGATAGAAACACAAGGGAACGGAGCCGCCTGTGTAAAGCGTGTACGGAGGCTCCAGCAAGGAAATTACTACTTAGGAAGAGGCCACACAGATCGTTCGATTTACTTCGTCTATGTTCGATTGGTTTTCGAAATAGATTGCACACACACAAAAGCTTCATGGGCATAATATGGATCTCCGTCTCATGCTATCGTTGATCTAGCCTGCCGCCTTCTGACCAGCGGTAAATGAGCACATTTCCTCAGTAGCTCCTTGGTAAAGTACGGCATTTTTTGGCAACAAAGTCACATGACATAATAGCACTAGTTTAGAGGATACCATCCATCATCTTATGCCAGTTGGTCATCTCTAAGCTTAGCATGAAGCCTGCTAGAAAAGGCGACCGCGTAGTCAGTGTACTGAACTAGCGAATGTTGTATTGTTGACGGTAGTGGATCAGACGTCAAAACAGCCATCAAAATGGAAAGATCGTTGTTTGGCGAAAAGTCACTGTACAACAGCGGGACGAGAGAAGCCGCGACCGGATCCGTAATGCATTAGGCCTGAAACACTGCTCTAACACAAGCGAGACTCGACAGTTGCAAACGGCCAGTGATGGTAGCCATGGGACACGATCAGGACTGCAGATCGGATCGACAGAACGCATACACCGAAAAGTCAATGGTTCTCTAAATATGATATTATTACGTTTAAAGTGAACGTTTAGCTCTTCCCGTTTCGGCCATAATGTCAGCGGAAAGCTGTTTTTTCTCGTTTAGAGCTAATACGAGTAAGAAATCTTTCTAAAGGGATACATGACTATAATAATTCCATATAATTTCATGTAAGCTATAATTTTCCAGCAGCAGTAGTAGTTATAGTCATAAAATAGGACCATTTAGGTTTGCTCAAAGCTTCTGGCGAAGTAATCAACGACCACCTCAAAATATATAAAACGTTATTTTCCAATGGCTTCGAATGAATGGTCCTCTCGACAAATGATAACGTACGTGTTACGTTTAACGTAATGAGAAGTGTTTGCGATTGTACTGTCAACTCGAAAGCTGATGCGGTTCAAATTATGGAACGATGTTTATGTTAGACTTTTTGTTAATTATTACGTTATTATAATAAAAATAACTTTGAAAAAGTGCATTTATGTAAGAAGTTGTAGTTAGTTTCTGGTAACTAGTGTACGAACACCCACCTGAGGTTCTGTTATTACCCTTGACACGGATGGGCTGTTTTATGACGTTATTATTTCGTTACTTTTAAGAGTTTTAAAGCATTTCTTCTTGGCGTGTTATTATGGATGGTTGTCGGCCGTTTCTAACTCAGCTCCGCGTTTTATGGAATAGTAACGACGATAATTTCACGTTATCTTCAGACAGGTACGGACTAGCTGGAGGGCCTAAGTTGGAAAAAGTTCTGAAAAAGAAACGTATCGCATTGGTAGACGCAATAAATTTTTATAACAAGTTTTAGTTAGTATTCCATAGTTATGTTCGGTGGCTTTATATTTGTTGCTGAGTAAATTGTTTTTGGGTTTTTTCAATATTTAGACATTTAGCTTGAATGTTATTGACTTGAAAAGGCTGTATAAATTGACCGATAGTGCTAGCTTGCTCTCTAAGCAGAAACGAAAGCATTGCTGTTAGGACTTGACAAGGACGAAAGCTCATCGCGTAACCTAGAATTGACGCTCATATTCAAGAAATTTACAGCCTGCTTATTATGCCTTCGCAAGCGGAATCCCTTTATAGTAACCTTTAAAAATATCAAAATTATTCGGTTAATTATATTTGTTGGCCAATTATATAAACAAAGGTAAATCCGTGTGCTTATATATACCCTGTCGGCGTTGCAAAAAATTTAGACGCTTGAAAAAGGTCCACATCTTTAAAAACACGGCAAACAGTAGTAACATGTAAAATAGCACCCGTTTGACGTTTAACGAGGTTCACTGTGCTTGAGAAATTTTATATTAAGCGGTTATTGTGAGCTTGTAAGGGACCACTAAACACAAACGCACTCATAAACGGTCGATTTCCAGCCCCTTTATTTTCACCATACTAGTCATTACGCAGCATCTCTAACAATGGGCATTTTACCACTGCTAGCTGTCTTCCTCAAAGGCTTCCAGGGAATTTTTTTTATTTGTTCCGCGTATTCTAACGTTGGCTAGATTCAGATGCCTGATAGGCCTCTTCAACTGAACACGCATCCACTAAGTCGCCCCCTATGCCGTACTAAGTCGAGCAATGATTCATGCACACCACGTATTAATTAAGGCTGAAATATATAAGTAAAAATATAGCAACAAAGATAACGAATTTAATTACCGAAATCATTAGCTTTTTTGCGAAAGCAGACTAGAGATTATTGTTCTCAATGCAGCAATAACAAAACATTATTACACCGAAGTTCTGTAAAAATCTAGCACGTACTAGCCCCGTACATCTTTCAATTTCGTCGAATAGTTATGAAGTATATATTCTTATCTGTACCGTCTGTGTCACTGGATGATTTCATAACCAACAAGTGTGTACTAAAAGGATGAGCGTTCTTAACGAAAGACATATTTTCTTTGCGAAGTTCGTATAGATAGTTCAAGATGAGTTTTGTACCACTTGATAATGTTTTCTGGTCCCACACTCGTAAGGGCGGCACGTGCAGCAACGTCAACTAGACATAATGCCTCGGTTCCCACTATGGAGCGGTGAACAGAAACACATCAAAACGCGTAACATATAGGGTATAGTTCAGCGATCCTAGCACAGCCTGAAGCCACAGTCGGCAGCTCTCCTAGATATGATAGACAAAGAGACAAAAGCGTATTTTCTTCATCGCGACAAATTTTCATTCGGGTTCTCAGTCGATACCTGCTGAGATAGTTTGCCATGTTCCCGTTACAGATTACTCGTCGCTCGCGCCTATCTTCAACCAGACTACCACATAATGATCCTGTGACAAGTAATCACTTGTATTTACAGGTGCCTTTTTATACCTACTTCAAAAAAAAAAAGCAAAATAAACGTTGTCACGGAACCTTTTTTTCTCATTTCACGTTTCACTATATTGGCTTTTTCTGACGGGCAGCCTTCAGGAAACGTTTAGCCCTGGCTCAATGAAAAGGTCTGATTGTCGAATGAGCATAGCCTAGGCTTGCCAAAATTCAGGAAGCTTCCTTGTACTATTTTAAACTAACGAATCTGTAGTATGCAGCGAAAGTTCAATAAAAACAAAGTGGAAGCTACCGTCGCTGCTCTGCTATGGCCTTTATTTTTTATTTAAATCTCTGTTTTTTTAAAATAACGTTTTTTCCGACATCTTGCCAGCATTACGCTGCCTTAGTAAGCGTATCTCTAGAAACTCAAACAAAGCCTACCAAGACTGTTAAATAACGCCTTTTTCCAAGAGGGCTAGTGCGATGGTACCAAATTGATTACGCCTGAAAAATTATCACGGCAATTTAAACATACTTTTGAATGTAATTAATTGTTTTGTTCTGAAGGCGCAGTGTCGTTCCTGATTTTACTAAATAGCTTTTTTATCTTATTGATTTCAATATGGTGTAGAGATGAGTTCACACTTAGCTGATGTTAATCAAGCGTCTAGTCTTATTCTAATTAAGGCTTTTTTAATAGAAAATAAAAAACTGGTTTCTGATTAACCATCTTCTAACTGAGGAGCGAGAATTGCAGGCGCTTGCTGAAAACAACAATCAAACGAACGAAGAGTTTGTTTTTTTTTTTAATTATCGCTCTATTATGGATGAGCGGCAACAAGCCGTCAACATTCCAGTTATAGGCTGCGGCATGTAGCATCAATCTTTTAGAGCCTTCCATCAAGGTTGAAGTAAGCAAAAACAGCCTACACAGAACTGTATAGAAATATGGACTAACAAAGGGCGCTTATGGCTTAGCTACTCCTTGGTGGCGGATAAAACGGTGTTCCAGGTGAGAGCAGACCCGGGGTCTGCCATAAGGAATGGGATTGTCTAGTGCGACACCTGCCATAGCTTTAAAGTAATATAGTGACGCTTATTATACATAATTCTAACTTTTTTCATTTGTTTTGGCTTCTAGCAACGTGTGGGTCATGCCGAGATCCTCCTGCAACGTCGGTGGCGGGACGTGCTTCATGCTGAAGCCGCAAGTGTTGGACCGGCCGGCTCCAGCTCTCTGTCACTGCCTTCGATCTTCGATTATCTTTCTTACCTGAGAAACACAACTCATCTTGAGCCTGCTTTGCGCATTGCGGCCAACACCTCAAGAGGCCATCCTGCTCGTCTTGTTTTCGGTTTGTTCACTTTGCTTTCCATAATCTTATTGACTCGTTCTCGTTAACTTGAACATAGCCAATGATTGTCGTCTATTTAAAACTACTCGAGACATTTTTCATATATTTCCGCTCCTACTCCATGTAATTGAGTAACATCCTCGGTGTCCGTCCATAAATGGCAACCAAAAATGCTCTGTGCAAAGGCGATATCATCGAATGTGTGTTAGAGTGGTCGCAAAATAATTTTTCCACCTACCTAGCTTAAGTTAGTCGCCGGTTGGGCCATGGACAGACACTTGGGCTAATGAAAGAGGTATACAGGGATCCATTGTAGATGCATTGGCTAATTTCAGCCTTATATTTTAAAGCGTTCGCCTTTTAGGCCATGCTTTGTAGACCCGAACACTTGTTAGTCGCTTAGAGTAAGCTATGGACTACAAGCCTGAAGGTACCCCATGGCTTCGAATACCGAATTATTGTCGTCAAATGGAACTTTTTTTTGTTCGACCCTTTCTAAAACACATATATTGCCAGTTTCTAATTCAGTTTAACCATCTAGGTAAAGTCGTACTGATCAATCACTGTGTTTTCGAAAGAATTACCTCCTTGTATTCCACACAAATCATAGGATTGTCCGTGTTGAGATTTATCCTTTAACGATTTCTTCTTGGCCAAAAGATTGTTCTAGAAATAATTTTTTCCCGTTACTTTTTGATATATATATATATCGTTACCTTTGGCCTGACAAAGGATTGATGTGCAATATGTGATAACCTATGGCGTCCGCTGTCAAACACGGTTAATCGAGCAGTTTAAGTAATCGAGTAGTTAAAGGTGTTCATGTAGCTAAAAAAAGCACGGGCGTGTTTGTAGCAGACACGATCATATATAAAGTGGCCGCTAAAATCCTTCGGTTAGAACCTCACCGATTTAATTTACGCGGCCATATCATCAACGTTGTCCTTTGTGCGGTAAGGCCGCGCTGTGAAATTTAGTTTGACGGGATCAATTACGTGTTTGTATTTAAGATATTTTTGCAACACTGACGTGTCACCTTTGTCAACGTATCTCATCCTGATCGACAACGAGCGTAGGGGCAAAATTTAATTTTCTGGGCGTTACTGACATTGTGGTTATTAAGTCGTGTGTTTAAGTATGCGTACGATACTTACGGCTGAATAGATCGCAGGTATGTGGAACTTAACATAATGAAATTTTATATAAACAGCCCGGTCTACCGGGAAACATAGGTGACTGAGACGGACCTGACACGTATCAAGCGAAGAAATTCTATTAGAATGTGATTATTCCAGGTATACCGTCCGTGAAACGCGAGATCCAGTCGTATCTAACGTCGACAGTTGAAAATCTTATAGCCAACATGAGTCCGGAAGATCGCAGCATGAGTCTCATCGTAATTATGCTCGCTGACATAAACAACTCTACAAAGGTACGATCTCAATCATCCCAAAAGGCTAACATCTTGAGTTTCCATTTGAAAATTTGGAATTAGCGTAGAAAAGAGCCGAATTATATTAGGTGAGACAAATCCTTTTCTACCGTTAGAAACCTTACGCGATACCGAACGAGGTTATCCAGCTTGGATGCGCAAGTTAGCCTAAGGCGGCATTCAGAAAAATGAGAAAGGACCGTTGCTTTTAGCGCCGATGATTAATTGCTGGGCAACGTCAAAAAATCCTTTGTCATGACAGCATTTTGTGTCCGAATCGCAAGTTATAAAACTGCACTAAAAAGGAAAAAGCCGATTCGAAGGTTTGTGACATCCGTTTTTGGTGAGACGCGCGGTTGGGCCAAGTTGGTTTTTACCAGATACAGAGAGGTCGCAGGCGACTGCTACGCTGGCTGAACAAAAACTGGATACAAGTAAGGCCAAATCATATTCTAGCGCCTTCTTCTATTAAAAACTAAATTGATATGCTCGAATTACGACTATTTGCCCTTAACGACTATTAGCGAGGTTCCTGGAAACCCGAAGTGCAATATACATATGCTGGAAGAGCTGTCCCGCATGTGTGTTCAGCTTCTTAGCAAACGTATTTCAACAATAGTCTTTATAGGCGTTAGCTTTCCGTTCCAGCCTAAAACGGTTTTGAAGAGCTGAATGCGCGGAAAGAGGAACCCGTTTAAATGTATCAGACGACACTGAACCAATTCCGGATATTCTGTGGCCAGGTTTGGCGGTTAAACTATGTTCTTGTAACGGGCACAGCTTTGCACAAAGTCTTTTTACAATCTGACATCTACATTACAGTAAAACAAACGATTGGCGTACATTTTATACAAATACACATGTTTAAGCGGCATCAATTTGGACTTTGTACTTGGGCGTGTCTGGATCCACTTGGATGACCCGCCAAAATGTCGTAGTGCGCATTGGATTACATGAGGAAATATATCCCTTCGAATAAAGTTGTCCCCAAATTAAGTTAAACTTTATTTTCACTCGGCTTTTTTATTGTTTGCGGACAGGTCGAGTCGGAATTAGCTGAAGTACGCGGCGTACTGGATGAACATCTGCGCTCAGGCTTAGTAGAGGTCATTAATCCACCGTCGCATTTCTATCCGCCTATAGACAAACTCCAACAGCCTACTCTTGGTGACCCCATTGATCGGGTAGGTGATTCAAAAATTCGTTTAGTTAATTATTATTATTCTTGAAGTATCATCTTTTGTAATAGGTTGGCAACGTTGGCCTTCAATCGTGTATACCGCATTATAGTACTTAGGTCTTTGTTCGATCATTTTATTAGGTTAAGATTCAAGTTAGAGCTGTCTAAATCTGCTCAGTGGCTGGCAACCGTCAGCGTGGGGGTCTTCTATATACTGCATTATGGTTTAGCTAGAGGAACTGCTCGACTATACTAAACCTCTATTCTATTGCACTGAAGAATTGTTAGTACAAAGAGATATAGGAACATATTATTACATTTGATCAAGGTATTTCGACCATATTTGTCGCTACCCTTGCTTCTAGAGACCGAGCGGCTTTATCTAAGATAAAGCCATTGAACGATGGGACTGAGCAGCTTTGAGTTAAAAACAATTGGATAGTGGAGCAGCTATATCTAGACTATCCGCTGTGCAGCACGTGCGTACTGTATGCGGTATCTACATAAGATCGCCAATACAGCATATAATCGTTGATTTGTTTCATTGCAGGTGAGATGGCGTACGAAACAGGCTTACGATTTTGCATACCTTATGATGTACGCGTCGTCCCGTGGCGAGTACTATGTACAGCTTGAGGATGATATTTTATCAAAGCCAGGCTTTGCAACGCAGATGTTAAATTTCGCTAAAAAGCAAATGTCATCCGGACATAAAGATTTCTTTGTGTTGGATTTTTGTACACTTGGTTTTATTGGTAAAATGTTTAAATGTATCGAGCTGATGAAGTTTGCCACGTACATCTTAACCTTCGCTCAAGATCAACCGGTTGATTGGATTCTAGATCACTACGTCCAAACAAAAGTATGCCGTTTCGATAAGGACGCTAAACATTGCCGCAAGATGAAATCTACCATTTGGATCACGCATAAACCATCGTTGTTCCAGCACGTTGGAACTCATTCGTCGCTCAAGGGCAAGATGCAGAAACTCAAGGATCGTCAGTTCGGCAGGGTCAGTCTGTTCGTTCCTCATAGGGACAACGTGCCCGGTGACGTGGTCACCTCAATGACTACCTACAAACAGTATACCGTTAAGCGTGCGTATCTCGGTGATTCGCTTTTCTGGGGTGTTCTACCGGTGGCTGGGGACCACATCACGGTCACGTTTCACGAACCGACGATCCTCGAAAAAGTGCTCTTCCGCAGCGGCGATGCCGAACATCCGAACGATCGTTTCATTAACGCGACCATACAGATTCTACCAGTTGCATCCGTCGGCAAGAATCCTCAAAATTCTAATCAAGATTCAGGTAACAAATCTCTCGATATGGCCAAGCCGCAGGCAAAACATGACGGCTGGCTAGAGCTCATTCGTTTTGACCCTCATAATGGCCTTGCTCAGGCAGGGCCTGTCAGCTACCCGGTGGCAGCCTTACGACTTGTAGTTTTAACAAACCATGATCACTGGGGCATTCTCTCGGAAATTCAGGTGAAGGGTAGCACAGCCTTTTCTCCGAACAATAACAAACTTCTGTAGCGTAAGCATGGCTCATCTGATAAGAATGGTGAGTAGAAAATTCAAAATTTGCGAAATCAATTATAGTATACCTTCAGTGTATCTGGTATGGGAGCTTGCATTGAACATCGATCTGTTAAACTTCTTACATGTATATAAATGCCCCTAATCTTTGAACAACATTAGCTGTGAGGTTTGTACTGTGTTACGCGTACGAATATTTATATGGTTACATCACCTAGTGAAAGTAGTCTATTCAAAAATGGCAATCCCAGCTTGTACATAGATAGTTCTTTACAGTAATCGCAATCAAGATCGCAAATGTAGGAGTAAAAATCTAGGAGAAAAAAAAATATCGAGTAAGAAAAAGTAGAACAAAGGCGGCAAAAGACGCATAAACCGCCTTGAGAACCTCATCGTTCCTCCATGTTGGACAGAGCAGGTATTATTGATTGTGTGAGAATGTAAAATGATCGTGATCTCTCTATTGAGCCTCGCTAAGAAACGTGGAGCCATGCGACTGCTGAAACCCAGGAACTGTACGCATTTAATAATATATAATTTAATTCACACTTCTAATAAGTTAAATCCCTATGGGTGTCTGTTGATCTGTGCACTCTGACTGGAGAAAATTATCATACGACATAAATAAACTTCTGAGTCGCACATTGACAGCAGTACGCCGCTTATGACCGTTTATGTCTATGCCGCCAATCTAGGCGTGCATGCAATAAGAGGTTGCGCAATATAACCTGCCTGTTGTTGAATAGTAACTTTGGAAAGCGGATTAAGTTGTTACAGCCAATGCAAAAACCACCCTTAATGATAGATCTTTCCAAAACATCTACCTCCCTGTATATAGGCATATATTTATATCTATATCGACTCTAGAGTAACAATTGTAATGTTTAAAATATAATGAAAGCGTATATATGTTGTTGCGTGCATAGGCATGCAACTGAGTCTTGACCGCGGTGCAATGAACGTACTTAATACGAAACAATCTTAGGCAAGAAGTCTATGAGACAAAGCCCCGTCTTCCAACTTCTCTTAGCCCAACGATAGAAAAACATATATACATTGAACAATTAGTTTCAATATCTAACGATAAGTTGTTCCTGTTAAGGTAGAGAAGTCATTCGGACGCAAGGGGTTGTTTTCCTAATGGCTGTAGTGACACCAACGAGCTGTGGAGTAATAGTAACAATCAGAACGGATCAATCCTGTTACCATTGACTGTCGTGACATAGTTACATTAGTTCTGGTATCGTAAAGACTACGTCCATCGAATCTAATATACCTGTCCAAATCAGTAAGCACAAATAAGCACAGCAATTGATAGAACTCGCCGGCGATAAGTACATAATGTCCGCAGATTGTCCAGGTCGTTACGACCTACTTGCTTCTCCACTTGTGGCTAATTTATATGGTCCTATTATTGTAATTACGCCAAGGTGACGTCTAATGGTCCAGCTGGGAGGATTCAAGGCGCAGAGTCGCCGTTTGACCGAAGCGAAACTTGCTGGCTTTCAAGTTATTGTTCCTTTCTTCTATCGGTTTGCTTGATCATTTGGCACCATAATCTTATAAAATAATAAAAAATAACGTATGCATAAAAAAAAACAATCGATCATGTCAGGGCTGTGCGGCAGATTCATGCTGCTATCTGTTACCGCCCCCAGACGCAGATGAAAAGCATAGCGCATGAGATTGCACTATCTTCAAATATACATTGTGTTCTAAGTGGAATATTTTTACATTTCTGTCTTTTTTAGTGTATTTCTCGATCGTTTAAAAACCAAACCTATCCAAAACTTGCCAAATATCAGTTAGATTGTCCCGACACCTCGTGGTCATTCTTAAATTGGAGATTTTTATCTTTTAGCGTTAGCAATAAATTTGGGAGTCATTTCTCTTGGGCGTAATATATTTAGTCATCACTACTGACAATGTAACTTTTTAGCTCGGCTGATTGTGCCTGTGGAAGTGGATTTTCTATGGTTTAAGCTGAACAGGCGGTTGATATTACGTACGCGGTACGGTAAACACTGGACATTTGTAGTGATATAGTATATCGGAGCTATGTAAGTACGTCTTTTTATTCTGCTTGTTTAGTCGTGGTAAATTAATCATTTGTTTATGTCAACGATACTCTTAACGTGTTTAGCGTCGCGTTTTCTTAACACTCAATCTCCTTACCCCCGTGTTAACGCGTCAACGCGTCTCACTGGCGCTTGGCCGGCTTATAAATTAGGAATCTGTCCGGTTTCGTGCAATGCCTATCTTGTATATAGTATATTACGAATGCTACTACCTCGATAAGAAAAAGAAAAAAAAAAGGATTCGAATACTGAATGGTCCTAACAGCTTTGATTCGACCTTAAGCCAATACGAGCAGTGAAGTGGCATCGTACAGATAAGTGCAACACCTACTTAGCATATCTTCCACTGATCGAGGTCACCCTTGTACATAATAGGGCGAAGTGTATAATACGATGATTGGACTAAAAATAGGTTACGGTACATAATTCGAACTATATTTGACATATGGCGGTAGTTACATGAAACGTTGGCGGACACTGATGTCAAATTGAAGCTGAGAGCTGATAACGCATAACATTAGACCTCTATTCGTTGTAATAGGTGAGGTGAGTTGAATGGCAGCCAGCGTGGGGTCTTCAGTGGCCTACACCTTTAGTTGAGAAGCTTAGTTGATACGATCAGAGTACGTATTTGTAACTAGCAAGATGCATATGATTAAGTAGAAAGAAAACATGTCTTTATCCAGTGTTCCTCCATCTCTCTTTCGAGAGGGTATGCTAAGGCGCTTTTATTCTTTCGCTAGTTCAGGCCAATAGTCCGGAGGTTGATCGCGCAGCGCATACACAAACAACGGTTTATTGCTCAATGTAACATAGTGGGAAACGGAAACAACTTGGGAGAAAAACTGGAGTAGTTATAATTGTAGTAAGTTATGTTATAGTGTGCTTAGTGAGCAGCAAATGAGACTGTTAACAAATTTTACTTTTTCCATAGTAGAACAAAAAAACTAGCAAAATATTGCAATGATATTCTATGGACGATAATGGATACAAGTATGTAGTAAGGAGGCGGCCGTCTAAATGGTCTCTAGCTGCATTGAACTTAGTGGCAATTGAGTGAAGCGAACAGACGGGTTCGGGCGAACAGAGAGACTTTTCTCAGTTGCCAGTATTGAGTGGACCTACACCAGAGAGTCGACCCCTTCTTCAGGTGATGGCCAGTCCTTCGATAAGATGCCGTAAGTGATAAAAGCAATATTATATATACATTGTGGCTTTGACCTATATCGAAGTACGTATGCCATTATCTATAACATAAAATAAAAAATCAGCCCAACAGAAAGAACAGAAGCAGGAATGCCAGCTTTCTATGCGGAAATTGGATCATTCTATATCGCTGTCAAGATAAGTGTTCACTAAACGTTTAAGTTCGGCTATGGATGTTTGAACGAGCTATGACGATGAAAGTTTAAGAGAAAAAATCACGCACTTGTTTAAATTTTCGTGATAAGCATGTAAAATACGCGTCCGTGGGAACATATCAGAAAACGTTCAAAGGCAAATTTAAATACAACGATAGTATTTAGAAAAATTGATTTCTTTCTATATCCGCAAATAAAGCTGGCGACTTGATTAGCATCGACGCATACTAAGAACAAGCAATACACCTAGGAAAAATTAATTACTGTTGAAAAAATACTATTGGTAGCTTGCTAAATGTTACATTTTTAAACATAATACTTAAATAAAGAGTCGGCGACGCGGTGGTCACTTTATTTATTATTTGCTGCAGCAGCTTATTCATTATTTAAATGTACAAAAATGTAAATAATGCCCCTTTGATATATAGTATGTAATCAAAAATGATTCAGGTCAAGTTCACATCGAGCACTTTTCGATTCGTTCACAGCTTTATTTCACGTACGCTATCCAATACATCCACGTTCTACGGCAAATGTACTCCTTCCATTCCACAATAAATAACGTACCTTTTACATTAAGTTAGTTTTTCTTGTTTTTTTTTTTTAATCAGCGGAAACACTTCAGCACATATCGATAGGATCATCCCTAGGAAACTCAAATTTAACAGTGCAGAGAAATGAGCTCTCCGCCATCGGACTCGATATCGGCAAATAAAGCTTAAACTATTTTTTTACTGCCAGAACCAATTATGATAGGTCAGTAATGTTTCTGTGCTTAGTAATCTAACGCTCGTCGTAACGACCCTCTAGTAGCTTCGGAGAAGACTCAATTGATGCACCTTATCTTGTATATTACGCCCAAGTCGCGCAATCTAGATATGAATGCTAATAAAAGGGAAAGTATTTTAATACTATAAAACAGAATTTTTTATTTCTTATATAAAAAAACGAATCAACGTTGCATGTAGTGGAATCTGCCTATATATATATATATATATATATATATATATATATTGGTTGAGTTTATCGGCCTCAACCAAAATATATCGTGTAGTGCATATTTCAGGGAATGATCAGATGCAATGCAGGAAACACTTTCTTCGACCAGGTTTGTTGGACATTTCGGCACCGCTCTTCTTGTTGTTTAACGGTTGTTCTCTCACGGAGTTTTAGCAGATACTCAAAAATATTATGTCTATACGGGCCTTGGCTTCTAAGCTAACCATTGTCTACCTTGGGAAAGTCAGATGTCGAAATAAAACGCGCATCGCGAGATGTAATTTATGGTAAACACAGACAGTTTTGCTCATAATAATAATAATAATAAAAGTCCACGATGTATTAGCTAGTATGTATCGATGATTTTTTTTTATTTCGTTCTAAAAATACCTAAAAATTTCTATATTTTTCTACGAGGTTCAGAGTTTCAATAGTCTACAAGCAAGTAGTTGAGTGCTAAATCTAGCTTGTGGAAAGACGCAAAACAAAGCATCGAAGTGTTCCGAGAGTCACGTTTGAAACTCTGCTGACATGAAGTCAGATAGCTGACCTTTACCGGCGCGCTGATGCGAATCTAAGACTGATGAGCAATGACAACGAACGAAGCGTAAGGTGGCGTAAAATTGGAATAGATGCTATTGTCGCTAAAAAAAATGGTCTCTTATTTTTTGTTCTCTTTTTTTCAACGAAAAAAATACAAGAAGCTAATACTTCGCGAAGTTAAAATGTGCAAAGCGAAGTATTTGTTATGTGGGTTATTATCGTCTACCACTATCGTGTTAATTTGTTATAGAAGAAACTAGGGATCAGAAAATTTAATTAGAACTTCGTCTTATAGAAAGCAACAGTGCACTATAGGTCATGAGTTTTTGAACTCGGCTCCCATCTGCTTCAACTTAAGATCCTTCTCATAAACATTCGGATACTGTACTTTTTATTATGAATTTTAAATGCTATTATTATTATTACTATCTTGGTTTACAAGAGAGTACGTTCTTCGATATTGATTAAAATTTAATCGCAGATTGTCATGTCAAATATTCAGGTAAAAGGATCAACGACTCCAAGAGAACTTGCAAACTAAGTTACGAAACGTCATATTGTTCTATCATGCTAAACGTATGATAACGTTATCCAGTTGTTCCAGCAGAAAAATACGCTATATTTACCTGCTTCGAGATTACCGTAATGAAGAACTCGTAATGGGTCAGTGATTATGTGCAATAAAGAACTTCATCCTTCGTCGTTATTCTTGGCCTCCTATTAATGTCGTACCCCTTTAGCGGAAAATAGAAGCTCAAGGCTTACATGCGTGACAAATATACAAGCATGATCAAGCAACCATCTCGACGATCCCTAATCCTACATAGAGGTGGCTTTGTTTGCTCAATCAGACATTTGTCAACTGATTAGAATAAAATCACACTACTGTTGTATGTTTTCATGTTGCAGTGTTTAATTTAGCAGCGCGTAGTATCGAAGATATACCGCTATTATCTCTGTTACTGTAATATATTCCACACAAGTTACTAACGTTAGCGCCGTTAAATCTTTCACAAGGGAACGCTGACGCGATTTATTTTGACATACGCATTTGTGTGTGACCTAATCAGAGACGACCAATAAGACCGAGGCAATCGCTAGCAACAGATAGATAACTATCTATACCTATCGCTTTTTCGCTCGAAAGTAATTCTGTAGATTGGTGTCGTTACACATTATACCAACAGTCGAGAAAATAACAAATTGGTATGTAACTCTTATAAATGGAAGAGGTATACATATAGGGTACATGAGGTAGATATAGCCTTGGTTAGGTACCTGCATGATAAGGACAAAAGTCGCAATCGATCCAAGTAGCGCATACTCAGTTTAATAAGATTATTTGAAAATATAAAACCATGTTTTCTTCAACGTTCGCTTTAAAACGGTTAATACTTTTCAACAATTCAGTAAGTAGAGGGTACATCGCCTAGGTCGGGATCATTTTCGACTAATAGGTTGTGGTTTGACGAATGGATTCATCCGAAGCCGCTGTAACTGAGTAAATTCTCGTTTTAAGTTAGATGTAAACAAACTTGGCAGAACACACTGCTTCGTCACTGAATTTTACAGCCGTTATTGATTTTCTTCTCGCTTAACAAACTCAGAGCAAGACAACAAGTTCCTTCGGTTACCCTAAATCGACAGGTTATGCAATTGCAGATAAAAGTGCGACTGGAAAAGATGCGGAAGCAAGTTTCAGTGCAGCTTTACGGAAAATCTACAACAGACAAAGAACAGCGGGGACTCTAGGATTGATAAAGGCCGTCCGAAGATATGATTTCGATTATTTCTTCGTGTCTTTAAGATGTGTGGGTATGATTATCATATCACGGGTCATTGACGAAGATCTTAAATACGCGTCGTATGTTATGAACGTCAGGTAGATCCTCTCTAAGGACAATTATTTGATCTGTGTCGTTTGCTCCTCGGTTATCTCAAAGGTGAGGCGACTCTTCTAAAAGACAAGCGGATTTTGTCCTCGGCACGTTATTCACGTACGTTCAAATTGTTAACCGCTTAGCGTTTTTTTAACTTCAGGCCTTACCTTTTCACTATCCACTGCTAAATATGCCGAATTACTTTGGCTGCTGCAATACTTAAAGACTACTATCCAATTTTTGTACGCTGCTTTAAACATTAAGTTCAATATTCATTGGCATTTAACCTAGATTTGAAGCGCGGAATACAATACAATTTTCTAGATGATACAAAACGGATCTTCATAATAGCTGCTATAAAAATATGTTTACGCAGCTGATCATCTCCGTTAAGTCGCTGTAAAAACAAACGTATATTAAAAAAGAAAAGACATTGAAGCGTTGCTTTACAAAAAGTTGAACTTCCCCTGACCTTCTATGATCTGATGTGGCATTTTAGACACCTCTAATATCAACTTACCCTTCCCTGTGTTTTGCTGCACAGTAGTTAGTCGTACTTTCTCGTATGTCGCTACAGGAGGTCAACGTAACAGCCTGGTTATGAAATTTCTGCCTCAATTCGGGAGCCCATATATGCCCACATGAACATAAAATTACCCACTTCGATTTGTTGCATTTGTGCGTTGGCGGGTGATCGTCGTCCGATCGCGGTGCGAGCCACTCACTGAAGTGGCGCTGCGTTCGCTACTTCGTTAGCGATCCAGCCATATAGACACTTAGCTGGCTTGTGAGGTAAATTACCCCCACTCAGTCTACATTTTAGCTTCGTTTGCTGTTTCGTTCACTTGTTCGTTCATTGCCTAGCGAAGGACAAATCGGGAAGTCTTAGGACGGTACGCTTGTGGGGATTTGAATGACCATGTGGGTATCTGCCAGGCCTGCAACTGTGGATACAGGCGGGCAAAACAACGAAAACGAACGGCTGACTGGATGACAAGGATGAGGGCAAAATAGAGAGGGGCATCATGTGGCATAGTGGCGGCGGTGGCGATAGGAACTAAAGCATACCACCTCTCTCTCCCAGCCGCTGGTAGTCGATACTGTGAAGGTGCTGCTATACGCGAACCTACTGTGCTAGGTTGCATGCTTGGGCCTAATGAACCAGCAAGGAAGATTAGGGAAATCGGCTGGTCCACCGATCACTCTGTCCGTTAATCTCTCTAAACGTTGCTACCTGGACATTGCGAGAGGAAAACAAGGAGACCGCGTAGTGTGCGTGCGTTTTGTCTCGGTGCGCCTGTGTGGCACGGGATTCAAGATTTGAGGGGAAGAGCGGAGAGAGCAGAGGAATCGTCTGCTGTGGGGGTGTACCGACCGTTCGTTAGCTTAGTTCAACGAATGATGTTATCTGAGCCGATCCCTGTTCGCTCCTTGTCTGCTGGCTGATCAGGTGCTTGTTCCGTTGTTTGGGACTGAGCTGGCGCCTAAGTTTTGTCCTAATGGTAATCGTGGTGGTAGTGCAACTGCCGCCACCGCCGCTGTCGCACTTCACGGTTTAGACGTCGCCAGAATAAAAGTATCTTCTTGGTGAAAGTGCGCGTGTCAGTGTCGAGGCAGGACAGCGGCAACCAACGATAGCAAACAGTAAGACAACGGAAAGGATCGACATGAACAGCAAGATGAGGGACCGTTGAGGGTCTACGTACAATGAAGAACAATCGCTTGAAGCCTCTGCCAGCAGCAGCAGCAGCAGGACGCGACCAGGAGACCTCAGTCCTACTGCGGAAACAGCAGCAAGAACACGGTAAAAAATTTATATCCACATCCGTATCATTACGACAATACAAGGGTATTCGCCGTGCTCTGGAGCGTCGCCACACTCAAACGGCAACAATAAACAAAGAATCATTGTTACCTTCTTATACTTTATCAACTTACTCTGTGGTTTCCTTTTATTATCGCCACGATCCCCTTACCAGAGTACAGCAGCGACTGCTTCGAATTATAGTTCTCCAGTTGCAGAAGCAGGCGGTATCGAGGACTGTTGTTGTCTATTTTTGTCGACGTCTTCGTCTCCGTAGAAGTGACACTTGTAACGGTGTTGACGACGATTGTGCCGGCTAATGGGAAAAATCTGAGTGAGGCAGATCAGAGTTATTAACACCAAGCGACGGTGACGAGCGACTTGTGTATTCATACTGACAATCGTCAACACCCCTACTACGTCACTCAGCCAAATAAAGGAAACTTTTAAGCATCAATGTTGTGCTTCATAAATAACTAGTGGCTGTTATATTGGAACGAAGTGATTTCACTCGTTACCGCAAGCCCCTCGGGCGCTGTCAGTTGTGTCGAACATGTCACTTTGTACAGCCTGTCCAGACGAATGGCCAACAAGTAGACCTGAGTCCGGCCGTAGCTAATGCAGAGAGATCTCGTCTGTGATGTCGGAAAGACAAATTGCTTT